CTCTCTCGCTCTCTCTCTCTCTCTCTCACACACACACACACACACACACACACACACACACACACACAATGATTATAATAATAGAGAATTGGAGGAATGTTTGTTTGGAGGGGAAGAATATGTTTATGGCACAGATTGTGGTATACTTATATCCAAACATATGATATTGCATGCATTAAATGCATACAGTTTTTCAGCCAGGTGCAGTGACTCAAGCCTGTAATCCTAGCACTTTGGGAGGCCAAAGCAAGAAGACTGCCTGAGCTCAGGGGTTCAAGACCAGCCTGGGCAACTCAGTGAGACCTTGTCTCCATAATAAATAAAAATAAAAACGGGCATGGTAGCGCATTCCTGTTGTTCCAGCTACTTGGAAGGTTCAGGCGGAAGGATTGCCTGAGCCAACTGGGTCAAGGCTCCAGTGGACATGACCATGCCACTGAACTTCAGCCTGAGGTACAGTGTGAGATCCTGACTCAAAAATAATAAACAAACAAACAGGTACAGTTTTATATGTTAATTATGCCTCTTTAAAGTGACTTATAAAAACAAGGCATAAAAATGTGCAAATTAGAAATAGTCAAACATATGACTCCTTGAGATGATCACCTAGTGGTGAAATACTAGACACTATTCCTTATGAATAGAACTGAAATAGTGAACACTGTTCCTTATAAACAGAACTAATCAGCTCAACACCGTTTTTTTCTTCTTATAAAAGGCATCCACAATCGTGCTAGGCGTACAGTGGCACTATTTGTTGTAGAATCAGACAGGAAATATGGAGAAAAGGCCATCAAGTTGACACTTTCAGAAAGAACAGCCAGTCTCAGGATCCACACAATGTCTACTCAAAATGTTAAGTGGATTTAGTAAAAAAAAATAAATCAATCGTTAAATAACGTGTTATGAGTGGGGATCCTTGTACTGAGATTTTTTAACGTTTAGAACACTTTCAGCTATAAAATATCACACAAAATAAAAGTAGCATTTTAAACAATGTGTGTGTGTGTGTGTGTGTGTGTGTGTGTGTGTGTGTGTGTGTGTCTATCTTAGGCATGAGAATCTGCCCTCACAACACGGGTAAGATAATGTAAAATACATTGACAGCACACAAACTTTCTCTCAGGTTATTGCTGCAGAGAGACTATCTTGATTTTCTAGAATGATTCAGAGGCGGCCTCAGGACTGCAACTCCCTGGTTGCCACTAAAATACACATACGTGGGGTTGAGGAACAGAATTCAATGAAGTCCTTCTCCACGTGGGTCTTGCAAACTGCATCCATCTCCAGGTTCCTGCATGACTGTGGATAGCTGACTGCCGGAATCGCTGAACGAACTCTGACAACCACATCCCCTGGGTTATCTGTAGAGACATTAACCTTCTATACACCGCTATGCCTCTGCCGAAATGACAATCACAGTTGTCCACTTGGTTCTTTTTGAATGGCCATCTGAAGTTGTTTTATATACACATGCACGCGCGTGCACACACACCCACTTGGCCTCTTCTTTAGTGTCTTTGATTAATGTGCCAATTAATAGCAAAATCATCATGCAGTTACCAGTTTTAAGTTAAATTATTTCTACCTTCATTTTTAAACACAGCTTACAAAAGCCATGAGACAATTGTCAATCTGGGGGGAATAATAAAATAAAATTTAATTTCAATTACTCCAAAGTCCCCTGATCTCCCTACTCACTACTTTTTTAATAATTATGAGAAAAGGAGTGCTGCTATTACACAATGGATCAACTAACAAAAGCAATTCTTCCCAAACTAGCTAATGTCAAAATGTCTGTAAAATGTTTAAAAACCACGTTATCAGTAAAATGATTCGATTCTGAGGTTTGAATATTTCTGTTCAACTTTGATTTAAGGATTCAGATATCTCCTCCACCTTTTACCCTGAAGAAATTATATAGATATTTCTCTGCAGATCAGAGCAGACCGGACAATTTCTCCTAATACCAGTCCTTCTCTCTTTAAGAGAGTTTCCTCTGAATTCAAGGTCATTTATTTGCACTGGATGGAGGCCTAAGGGTGTTTCCCTAGATATAAATCACACAGCATATCCTCTACAAACACCTTCAGAACTTTTGAGTTTCCATCTCAGGACTCACCACCTCTGCAGGCCTGGACAATGATGACCTTGGGTTTGTTCATTAGATTACGGCAGTTGCGGTTGTTGAATATCTCAAAGATGGTGTCATAAGGTAGCACATCCGATTTCTCTTTACTGTGCATTGTTCCACAGATTCCATCCAAGATGCCATGAGACATGAGCACCAAGAATGTGCTGTCTGAGGTCTCATGCTCTGGTTTGGCTGCAAAATTCCACAGCTCTGTCTCCATGTCCTGGAAAAGTGCCATGTAACTTCAATATGACAAGCACTACGTTGATTTAACCTCTTAGATTTACCACAAATAGCACAAGAAACAGATGCAACATTAGAGTCATGGTGACTTCCCGTACTGGATAATCAATGATGATAGCGGTTTTATTTTTCTTCCTTAATGGTAAATGGGTTCCTACCCTCTCTTCTTGTTGGCATACTTAAACTCTATCCTTGATGTATTGTCTTTTTAAGAATGTCACTCACATTATTTCTTCTTTTTCATCTCTATATTTTCTGTCTTATCAAGACTCGTGCTATAAATGCACCAGGCCACTTCTAACATCAACCCCTCTGTGCTTAGAATAAAACCCCACTTGTGACCTGACCAATCTCCGCTCTCTGTTATCTTCTTTAAAATCAAGTCACCCTCCTTTCTGTGCCTCTCTCATGCCTGTTTCATTTCAGTTTAGCTCTCTCCCTCTCCTCAGAAGCTTCTGCACTCACATTTGTCCAAGCCAAATCCCTCAGGTAGCCCTATGTTATCTACACACAGAGGCTTTCCCAGACCACGCCATCAAACATGGCTCCCTACCTGCAATTCTCTCTCATGTTTCCTTCATGCTTTTCTTTCCCCTTACTCTTGACTTTCTAGTCACTCATAGTAGATGCATCCAATTTCCAAAATTGTCTGCTTACATTTTGGCTTCTCCTCTCCACTCTAACCTAGATCAATGCCAGTTGAGAAACTCCTGCCTCATTCACACACCTATCCCCCGGCTCCAGGACTCAGTGTTTGATTTGTGAGTGCATTCCTGCTTAACGTTCATTGCTCTAGAATATTCTGGAGATTCTTGTGGTTGATTCCTGATTTTGGAGCTCAATGAAATTTGTGAAAACACAGGCCAATCACGTTTTGTCTGTTTTTATGGTATTGAGTTGGCGATCAATAGAGAATAAAATTTACCTATCCAATACCTTCATTTTGCTAATAGACAAACATACACACACACACACACACACACGGGGTTTGGGATTGTTATAACTTTTTTGAGGTTTTATAAGGCTAACTAGATAGTAGAACACATGTATTGAATATGTGAGTTTGGATTGGGCGGGGAGCTCTCACCTCGGCTGTGAGGTTCCTTTTTACATCCACAGTATAGTCCAGGCCTTGAAGCAGCTCCTCCATCCCTGTGATGTCAAATTCAGCACCATTCCTCTGAGGAAGATGGACAAACTCTATATTGCATATGATGAGAGCCTGGCGACTGCGTTTTTCATTTTTCTTCTTTATCGGATAGATCTGGAGAAGATGGATATGCTGTGAATTTGATTTACCGGATTCTTGTTTGAACTCCAAAATGCCTATCAATGTTGCTTTATTAAGGTCTCATGCAGCTGTCACCTCCCTTACCTCTATTAGAACACACTGCCTTTCTCTCTCTCAAGAGCTCAGATCAGCAACCAGGACATACCTTGAGTAGTTACTCAAAAACATTGAGGAACTAGAATAATCCCTACATACTCTTTCTACACTTTCTTCTCCACCTACTCAAATTTTTCCTAGCATTCAAGCTACAGATTAAATTTAATAAAATCCAAGAGAGATATGTCATTGGTTTTAGTGAAAATTAATACACAAAGTAAAATTTGCCTTTGGTAGCATTATTGTTTTTTAACACATCAACTTACAATGTTTTGCAAGCTGCAACTGTGTTTTTAAGATATACTTCATGTATAGCCTTTATAGCTAGAGTACAAACAATTACTACTTAGCCATGCTATCTTATAAATATTTTGATTTGTGGCCACAGCTGAAGTTGTCATACCTTTCAAACATATATGAGAATAAATAAATGAATAAAATGAATTTTACCATGGGTTTAAACAGGGACTGGAACTTGTGTGAAGTCACACATTCTCTTCTTTGTTGAAAATATATATGAGAAAGATTACCACCATACTCATTCCCATTCATTTAGTATCTTAAGAAATTGAGCATTAAGTGAAGACAATAGTTTGTTTCTCTATGTTATGTATGGAGCACAGCACCTTTCCAGCATTTTCTCTACACAGTCTCAGGAAATCTTCACCAGGACAATGCTTGAGGGTATCTGTAGATTCCGTTGGCTCAACTCCTTCAGCCTGGATTTCCAGGGGATCTACAGGATACATTACATAATATAAACTGTGATTTCTGCCTCTGTGAATCAATTTGTAACCCAATAAGATTGAGAGACAAAAGTTCTGGGAAAAGACTTCTTCCCCTGTAGGGGTTGTAGTTGAATCTAATCTCTAGTATAAGGAGATGGATTATTACTGGGAAATAATAAAAAAGTCACTGGTAGAGAATCAAGTCCACCCCTCCCAAAACAAACAGATAATAAATTCTCATAATTTTAGACAAAACACCTCAATCACATGTAGTATAATTTGTCTTTTTATATTCAGAAAAAAGTTTGATTTTTATGATGGTTTTATTCTAGGGCACTCATTAATTTGTGTGAACTTTCTATTGTGTGTGAGAGAAAATACATTGAGTAAATATTTGTCAGAGTGCTATCTAACAGGAATTTAATATTAGCTTTATATGCCCTATTAAATTAATTAATATCACATTGGAAATTAAAACTAAGATGAAATTAATTTAACAGTATGTTTTATTGAGCATCATATATGCAAAACAAGATTATTTTAACATGTGGTACTAGCCACAGGTCAAGTACTTGGTAGTTTCAGGTGGCTTGAGACTAGCATAGTGGATGGGACAACATCTAATTTTGGGGTGATTGTCTCTTCCTAACTCATACAATATATGCAGATACACACACACACACATCAATCACTTAACAGTATCTTGAATTCTGTACCATCAAGATATTGTTTTTGCAACCTTAACCAGAATTTTAACCTTTCTAGAATGGGCTTCAATTATCCCTCACCAAACTGTCCAGTCAGCTATTTAATGGAAAAGTGCTGTCTAACAACAATAGTGCTGTGTCCAAGGTCAAAGGGACAATTTTGTTTTTGTCAGAGATTCTCATGTAACTCTGGATTTCTTACCTCCAAATATTAAACAGCCAACACTAAGTTTCTCAGTCCTTGTTTTATAATGTGAGGAAATAATTCATCTCTTTTGGATAAATTTGTTTTGGAGTGAGCCTGATCTATCCCCTAGAGAAATATCAAACAGCACTTGACATCATTTGTCGGAGATTGTGCATGTGACTGGGAAATTCCAGAGCCCTCCCTTGGAGAAAAAAGGAAAATAATTTATAAACAGAACTTAGAAAAGAAGTTTACCAAGATCTAATATAAAGTGGTTTCTTTCCATGAACGCAGTGGATGGTTACATTTTTTTTTTCTATTCAGTTATAATGAGCCAATGAAAATATTCTCTGGCTTATTTGATTTAAAGGAGAAAAGAAATATTATTTTGTGTAAAATTTTTCAGTTTTTATATTTTTTTTCTATTTCAATCACTTGTTTCCATTAATTTTTAAAATGATATTTTGAATTAGATGTCTTTCTTAAAAAGTATGATAAAAGGCCTGGGCTCAGGAGATGCAACAAGTTGTAAGAGTGTGTAAGGATTCCAAACCTTCTGAGCATTCCTTTTCATAGATTAAAGAGTGACACACACTCTTACTTCCCATTTCAGAATTTCTGCCAATGTGAAGACATCCACAGTCCTGGGATATTCCCTGCTGACAGGGTATGTTTTCTCATCCAAAGTTTTCTGTTTCCAGTTAATGAACAGGTTTGGAGAACTTGCTGATTTATCATCTCCTAATCTCCATTAAATAGTGTTTTCAAGTAAATCAGGAATTAGAAGAAATTTCTATCTTATAACCAATAGTAAAATTGGTATGAAAACAGGTTATTTGATTATGAAATAGATAATATAAGAGAGCAGTTTGTATCTCAAAGGGAGTTCCTATTCTCCCGGTGGTGCAACAGAAAGAAATGAGAAAATTAGGAGTTTAGATTAAAATGTGACTTTCTCAGGCTTACCTGTTGCCTACTGAAGTGCTCAGGAATTCCTTCAAACCGATACAAAGAAGAAAGAACTGGAACGGATAAGATAAAGCAATACTTTTTGGTAGACAGAGATTTGAGTGGTTATCGCTCTAAGTAGTAGTACTCCGCACATAGTGCATATACATACTGGTTTGTTAAATGAAACAAACCAACAAACCAATAGCTTGGTTTCTTTCTACTCTCCACTCCATGTCCTAAATACTATGAATGAAAACCTCAGAATTATTCCCATGGTCCGGGGTTTTGTGTCTTCTGATAGCCCAGCCCATTCAGCTACATGAACTGCTGGGCCAGTACACCCAGAGTCCTGGGAACATCTGGAGATTCTCAGAGGGAGATAGCACCCAGGGGGCCAATGCCCTCCTCCTGAGAGGGTCTACAGCGGCCTCCTTCCTGCCAAAGCCTCTGCTAATTACAGAGGTTATTTCCGTTTAGAGTTTACTGCTCATTGTGATTTATGGGTTTGTGAAAATCATGTTTAAACTCCTATTGCTTCCATTCTGATTCTCCTTTGCTGCATAATTGCCGATTTTCAAAAATCAGAATTGTTCTTATGATATCTTAGATTTGAGAAAAAGAGAAATCGTGAAAAATGACCAGCTTCAATATTAGTGAGAATGCAGCCTAGGATACAGTCATGGTGGATTATCATATTAGTATATGCTTCCTGTGGTGGGAAAATCCTTTCTCCATAGTAAAAGTTTGGTTGAAAAAGTCCTTTATTGATTTATGCCTTCATTCACTATAATGTACCATCATTGGAAACTCTAAGATGTCAGGGCTGAAGATTTTAGTTTTTCAACTCTAGGGCAAATTGAGTCCATCACTGTTGAGTTTGAATGCAAGAACCTTTAGACTCTAATAATACTAAATTTAATCTGAGTCAAAAGTTTTGAAAGGTTATAGAATTGTATACATTTTATACAGTTTCCTTTGACCATATTACTGTAACTCACAATAAGGACAACTACCAAAATTTTTTAAAACTTATCTGCATAATAATTGTGATAAGTAATATTCATTGCATGTTAACCATTTCTTTATCCATTCTGTATTTATTAGGTATCTGTTATGTGCCAGGCACTCTACTAATTACTGCAATTAATTGGTGATGACACCAAGTTATAGTCTAGTGTTATTTCTGTTTATGGATGTTAGTTCTGTTTACTGATATAGAAAGGGAATAAAAAGTGAACAGATTTGGTCCAGGTTCAAGTGGTTAATTTTAGATATGTTCATTTTATAAAGTCAACAGGACACTCCAGTAGAAATGTTGAACATGCAGCTAAAGCTAAATAAGACTGGAGCTTGACAGAGAAATTCCTAGATGAGAGCTAATGTCCTAGGAGTTGTTAGCATGTACCTTAAATTACCATGTTTCTAGCCTTACAAAGCCTTATGAGAAAGTACAGGAAATATTTCCATTTCAGACATGCTAAAACTGATGACGAGGGAGCTAGAGAGGTTACAATACTTGAAGGATGTCATAGAGTTCACAGGTGACAGAATTTAGGTTTAGATTTGGGTCTCTTACTACAAAGTCTCTACCATTAACTACTTCTATGCACAGCCTAAATGCAAAGACTCAGTGTCTTAGTTAATTGTAAACTGGATTCCACTCCACAAAACACAAGGTGGCTTCTAAAAGGACAATCATAGTTTAGTTAAAATGACACTTTAGTTAAGGAAGAATAGAGATTGCAGAAGACAATGCGTGCGACTTGAAGTTGAATAGATGCTGGAAAATTTGAGATATCCACGGTGAAAGATTCAATCTTACCTCCTATTCCCGTTGGAGCTTGGTCTGTCTTAACAATGGCTCCGAGAAGCGCTTGACCTATCGCTTTTTCTTTGTGTCGAAAAGAGTCCAGAAAGACCCTACGCTTATCTTTACGTCTGGCATCATAGTATTTTTTCTTTTCCTCTTCGGTCCAGTTCAGCATATCTCTTTCCACCAAATTATCCAAACTGTCAGTGATAGTCTCTTTGACTATGAATTCCAAATTCTTAAGAAATTTTCTACTCCCATTGCCTTCTGTAAGAAATAGAAAGACTCCTTCAACTATAATTTCTGCTTCAAGAGTTTTGCCCTTACTTGAGAAATCATTCTGTAACAGAAAACGGCCCTGAAAATACATTCTACTTCACCATCTCCCCAACAAATTATACACCCCTTTTGCTGGACTTGTAGAATGTGCTCACTCCATTAAATTCATACCAGACTTTGTTTAACAATTCATTGACACTTACGTTTTGTTTTTTGTTTTGGTGTCTTTGTGTCTGTTTGTTTTGTTTTGTTTTATAGCTTCCCATCACCTCTTTGTGGCACTGAGACTATCGCAAACTATATGATCACCAATGTGCTCATATTTCTCTTTCTCTTGCTTACAGCCCATGATGATGACAATCTTCCTGAAATGCATGCTCCTAGGAAAGCCCATGTTCCTGTATAGATTGTCACTTTCTACTACTAGTCTATAGGACATTTTCTCTTCTCTGTGCCTCATTTCCTTGGTAAAAGTGCTATGTCTTTTAATTTCTATTTATTACACACATCCTGTATTCACATCTTTGTGCTCAAAATACTTAAAAGTATTTAATATGCTTACTAAATACATGACAATGAATATATGGATGAATTTAATTAGATTCATAGTTCTTTCAGTTCTTATTTTCAATTAAAAGTTAGAATTAAAAATAATCTGCTGATGACGTTTCCTGTTATGATACAGTAATTTGTATCTGGGTTAGTGTATTATTCTTTAGAATAATCATAATCTCATAGAAAAGTATAGATATCAAAGTAAGCTTTTTTAATTTCAGTACAGTAGATATTATTTGGGCAGGTTATATATGGGAAAGGCTGGTGAATTATTAATTCTCTACTAACTCTACAGAAATATTTATCCAGTCCATCTAGATGTTAGGATAGCTTTGATACAAAAATGACATTTTATAAAAAAATCATGTAGGACTTTGGATAAGAACACTGACCCAGAAGCACCAGCTTCATTGTCCAGGCTATTGTGAGTTAATATCTCAGTAATTTTTTATTGGGCAATGATTGTAAGAAAAACACATGGAAGTTTAAAAACAGCAAAATAAAAAGTTCCCTAATATCAATTAACATAATAAAAGGTAACCTCTCTCATGTACTTGTTAGGATTAAAAAATAAATACCTGTAAATCATTATAATTATCATTATTATTTACAAATCTCTGCATTAACTACTTCAAAAATATTGATATACTGGACCCTCACAATAAACCAGTGGGATAGTTATTATTTTCCCTAACTTATAGATCATTTAAATTATAACTTGTCCCATATTATGCAAATTAGGATTCAAATCTTGTTTTAAACTTCATTCTATGGAATTAACCATGATATAGTCTTAGTAATATTAGTTAATATTCATTGAGCCTTCCTTATGCCAAGTGCTTTACTAAAATTTCACAAAAGCTCTATGTAAAATCTGAATGTTAATGCATGGGAAAGAAAACACTTCTTACATGGGAAAGAAAACATTCACAAATAAATTAGTTAAATTATTGACCCAAACTGTGTGAAAAGAATACTGGAGAGTGCACTAGAATTGGGGAGTAGGGGCTGAAATCTGGGGGTTTAGAATCTGGAGCCTCTACTCTTAAATTATCAAACTACATTGCACAATGCTTGGTAAAGTTTTACTTAAAAGAATACAAACAAGATATACAGTCAGGTGTGGTGGCTCACCCCTGTAATCTCAGCATTTTGGGAGGTTGAGGCAGGTGACTGAGTCCAGGAATTTGAGACCAGCCTCAGCAACCTAGCAACACTTCATTTAAAAAAAATTTAAAAATTTTGGGCATGGTGGCTCGTGCCTATAGTCCTAGCTACTCAAGAAACTGAGGTGGAGGACCAATTGAGTTCAGGCATCTGAGGCTGCAGTGAGCCATGATTGTGCCACTTGACTCCAACCTGGGCAGCAGAGTGAGATCCTGACTCAAACTAAGAAATAAAAACAAGATCCTTAAGGCTGAGAAAAGACGAGTAAATGCCTGCATGTGCAATCACAATTACTTCTTAGAAGAGACGGCAAAAGTACTGGTCTTGAAATATGAGGTCCAACAATTAGGTTTGTGAGCCATCCCAGGAAAAATGCTACATACCTCACTGCTGAACATCACTATGGTCACCCTTGAAGAGTTCCCCTTGAGAAGCTACGTACCAACACTAGCACCTAGTTCATCCATAGAAGCAATTTTGGAACTCTTTTTCTGGAATGGCTATGAGAGCTGCCGTTGTTATTTGTAGAGGATTGACCATCAAATTCGCGAACTTACCAGAGTGCTTACATTGGCAGCACTGTACAAATAACTGTATTGGAACACCCTTCTTACTCACCAAATCCAATCCCCAATAACCTCTGTCTTTACCTGAAGATAAAGGAAATATCGAAAGGAAGACATTTTTATGACATTCAGGACATCAAGCGTAATACGACAAAGGCTATGATGGCCATTCCAGAAAAAGAGTTTCAAAATTGCTTTCATGGATTGATTAGGCACTGGTGTTAGTGCATAGCTTCCCAAGGGGAATGCTTTGATGATGTCTGTAGTGATATTCAGCAATGAGGGATGTAGTGCTTTTTCTGAAATGAGATAGTTTGAATGTTTGCAAACAGCAACAGGTGAGTATGTGGAATATCCACTCTGCCTGAATTCTGGGCTTCCTTTTTTATGTATTTCTGTGCTCAATAACCTAACAGAACAACGACTGAATGAAGGATAGTGGAGAAATATGGTAAGCAATAAAGCTAAAGCCTTTACAGCACAGTAAATTTCACATATAACAAACACTGCTAGCATCCTACTCAGTGGTAAGAAGATCAGTAAGAAGACAAAAATACCCAGGTTCACCACTTTTATTCAGCATAGTATCAGAAGTCCTAGCCAGATAAATTAAATAACATAAAGAAATAAAAAATTGCCTGAGCCCGCGGGTTCGCGACCTGCCTGGGCAACTTGGCGAGACTTCATCTCTACATAAAATCAGAAATGAGCCGGGCGTGGTAGCACGTGCCTGTAGTTCCAGCTACTTGGAAGACTGAGGCGGAAGGATCGCCTGAGTCCAGCAGGTCGAGGCTGCGGTGGCCGGGAACGGCCACTGCACTCCAGTCTGGGTGACAGAGTGAGACTCCAACTCAAAAAAAAAAAAAAGAAATAAAAGGCACTGAAGTTGGGGGGAAAAAATGTTAAATTGTCCCTGTTTATAGATGGCATGATCTTGTATATAGTAAACCCCAAAAGCTTTACCAAAAATTTGTTCAAACTAACAAACAAATTCAGTAAATTTGCAGGATACTAAATCAACATATAAAAATTAGTAGCATGAATTTATAAAAACAAATAATTACCTGAAAAAAAATTGAGAAAACAATCTCATTTAAAATAGATCTCCTGTGTTCATAGATTAAACAAGTAAATATTATTAAATCACTAGCAGTCTACAGAATTATCAATAGATTTAATGCAATGTCTATTATCAAAATTTCAATGGCATTTTGTAAACAAAAGTAGAAAAAGCATGGTGGCACCTGTAGTTTCAGCTACTTGGAAAACCGAGGCAGATAGATTACAGAGTTCAGCAGGTGGAGGCTGTGGTAGCTGTGAGTGTGCTACTGCACTCCAGCCTGGGCAACAGAGTGAGATTCTGACACAAAAACAAACAAAAACACAAACAAAAAATCCTAAATTCATATGAAATCACACACTCACACAAAAACTGAGTACCCAAAGCAATAATTAGTAAAGAGTACAAAGTTAGAGGCATCACACTAATTTGGCTTCAGAATATACTACACAACTATCATAATTAAAATAACATGGTACCAGCATAAAAACAGAAACGTAACCAATGGAATAGAACAGAAAGCTCATAAAGAAGCACATTTATTCACAGTCAGTTGATTTTGATAAAGGTTCCAAGAACACACAATGAGGAAAATACAATCTCTTCAATAACTGGTTTTGGGGAAACTGAGTATCCATACGCAGATAAATTAAACTGCATATATAAAATATATGCAAAATAATCAACTCATGGATTAAAGACATACACAAGACCCTAAACTGAAACTACTAGAAGAAAACAGAGGGAAAGTTCCATGACATTTGTCTAGATAATGATTTTTGAATATGGCACAAAAATCTTGTCACATCTGTTAAAATGTTTATAATCAAAAACAAAACAAAAGATAAATGTAAGAGAGGATATCGAGAAAAAAGGAATCTTGCAAACTTTTGGTAATTATGTAAATTATTTTTGTAAAATGTTACAAGATTCTTCAAAGTTAAATATAGATCTATATATGAGGGAGACCCCTACCAAAAATGGAATTATTATTATTATTATTTTCTGCAGTTGGCGGACTCCTTACTGTGCACTCAGAATTTGTTCCTCCAAATCAAACAGTCAACCAGAGTTTTTATATGCAGATTTTGAGACGGTTGTGTCACGATTTGATGAGGAAACATCTAGAGTTGTGGTAAACAGGTGACTGGTTCTACCACCAAGATAACGCACCTGCCCCCTCTGTGCTGAGTATTCAGCAGTTTTGTTTTGTTTTGTTTTGTTTTGAGTTGGAGTCTCACTCTGTCACCCAGACTGGAGTGCAGTGGCCGCTCCCGGCCACCGCAGCCTCGACCTGCTGGGCTCCGGCGATCCTTCCGCCTCAGCCTTCCGAGTAGCCGGAATTACAGGCACGCGCTACCACGCCCGGGTGATTTTTTGATTTATTGTAGAGATGAGGTCTCGCTGCCCAGGCGGGTCTCGAACCCGCGGGCTCAGGCAATCCACTCACCTCAGCCTCCCAAAGGCACGGGATTACAGGCTGAGCCACCGACCCCGGCTTCAGCAGTTTTTTATCAAAAACATAATGACCTCTATATTCCACCTCCCTATTCAACCTATTTCACCCCAAGCAAGTATTTTTTGTTCCTCTGGATAAAAAAGTCCTCAAAGGGAAATGTTTTGCCAATGTGGATGAGGTAGAACAAAAAATGGCAGAAGACTAAAAGGCATTAACACAATTTTTTATAAATAAATTCCAAGGTTTTGGGGGGTTACCCCCCTCGTGTAATGAACTCGAATTTGTGAAAGATACTCTGCTAGTGTTGGGAGTAGTATTTAGGAAAGATTTGAAAACATCAAGGCGTAAAGTCAAGTAGAAAGATAGACATGCAAATAAGTAAAATAAAAATCACAGTAATTTAAATAATGAGCATATGCGCAGGAAGAGCATAAGGAAATCATGCCTCAGGTGGAGATGGTTGCCCAGAGGAGGGGGAGTTTGGATTGGAGGCCTGAAAAACTGGTAGGAATTTGCCCCTTGGACAAGCTGGGGACAGTCTCTGGTCAGAGAGCAGTATGGAAAGAAACACAAGGGCTGGAGGATAGGTGACGTAATCTGGGAATTGGTAGAGCTGAGCTGTAGAAAAATTATACTATAAGAAAAGATGTGCAGCATGGACTGAAGTGGGAGTGATGAGAGATAGGGCAACTATTTGAAGATTTTTGCATAAAGTTGGAGTCATGTCAGGGTCTTCAGTTTGAGCACCTGTTGAGGGATCACTCCTCTCAACAGACACTTGACCAAAAACAAATTACTTAACCCATCTCTAAGTATCTTCTTAATAGCGTAAGAATAATACACTTAATAGGTTGATTTTAAATATTGAACCAAAGAGAGTGCATAAAATAGTTGTCTATGGTAGTTTTTTAAAATGTTGTGAATTATTTACTGTTCTTGTAATAATCATCGAATTGAAGTTGCAGAGATCATTAAAAAGGAGGAAAAAATTTAGAGGACAAAACTCATCAAGGCTACAGTTGTTGTCCCAAGTACATTGATAATGCTCTCACATGTTATAGAATATCATTCCTTAGGAACTTTGGTTTCCTGTAAACACTTAGACTCAGTTGTTGAAATGATTGAGCCACTTTAGTTATTTTTATCTAGTGCCTTTCAGTTCCTCACATCTACAACATAAGGATCCCCCCTTTCTTATCCAATAACCAGAAAGTTGGTCTGCCTGGCCCAAGAGGTAGGCATGTGTATAAATTTGACTTTTTACAACACAGCCAAATACTATATTAGTATCACGAGGAAGACAAAAAAAATCAGTCTCTGAATTTTAGAAGCTTAGGTTAAATGTGATGTGAGATATAAGCTCTGGAAATTATAATACCCCAAGGAGAATCAAAGAAATAAGAAACAAAAACAGGAAGCAATTATGAGAAAAGTAAATACAGTTTTTTTAAAAAATTAAGCAGAAATCAGCCTTAGGAGTGATTAATGGGGGAAAAAAGACAGAAAAATCTGTCTAAAAAGTCCAAATACTGTTTTAAAGGCAATAGAGAGTCCCTGTATATTCCTGAGTAAAAGAATACAAAAAAATCATTTATGGATACAGAGTATATGAGAATTGAGAGTCAGCTAAGTGGTCCCCTTTCCTAGTAGTGCTAATCTGCAGACTAACCTGTATCAGGCCAGCTTCATAAGAATTATCCGTAGATCTCTGGAAGATTATAAATGTCTGTAGCTGATTTAAGATTGAGCTATCAGGGTCAGAAAGGGCAGTGATCTGAGTCTTTTCATAAGACTAGAGATTATTCAGATGGGATATAAAGTTTAGAAACTGCTGATTTAGCCCAACCTCTTCCTTTCAAATGAGGAGAATGAAACACAGAAGCGATATGACCTGCTGAAAGAAGAGCTGTCTCAGTAGCTAATGATTCTGGCTCTTCTGCTTTCTCAGTTTCCGTGTGTAAGACGGCAGACCTGAATGTAGCAGCAGGATGGATTGGCGTGTTCAGTCTCAGAGACAGGAAGGCCAGTTAAAACAAACAAACAAACAAAACAGTAATAGCAACCCCAGAAATATCATATTAGTTACCACCAATACTAGAGAGAAAGGGAGAAAAAAACAAAATAAACAGACTAACAATGTAAGTCAGTATACAGATGTCACAGGGGGTGAGAACTCAAAGGCTCCCAGATTTGATTCCAGAAGGAGGTTTCATGATCTAGATGATTAATTGGGAACTGAGAGGAAACAGAGAAGATTTCAGAGTTCATTTAGAAACATTCAGAGATGGCTGGGCACGGTGGTTTATGCCTGTACTCCCAGCACTTTGGGGGGCAGAGATGAGAAGATTGCTTGAGCCTAGGAGTTCAAGACTGCCTTGGCAACATAGCAAGACCTTATCTCCAGGAGATACAAAACAAAACAAAAACTTTCAGAGTTGTCTCAGAACACAAATCCCTTTGTCTGTCCTTACCCTCCCTTCATTTATCAGAAGCTAAGAGAAAAGCATTTACTTCTTTCTGGCTCAAAGACATCTGGGGAACATACTTTACTGCGTTGTCTCTAATACTAAGTCCCCTATGCAAGTTGCACGCTATTAGAGAAATGATTCAGCTTGCACACTACCAGCTCACTTCCTTTTCTTCATTTCTTCTTGTCATTTCATATAGCAAAAAAATCAAGGGTTTTCTAAGATCCGATTCCCTCGCCCCTAGCCAGAAAAAGGCCTCAACTCACCAGCCATAGTAAACAGCCTCCGTTCCTTCTTGCAGCACTAAAAAGAGCTTCACACTCAAAAATGAAAGTAATCCAGTATTTTTCTACTGTGAGAGGAGGAGACATCTAGTCCTCAATTGTGAAAGTGTTGTAGAAGTAGATTGCCTTGTTGGGAAATCCCCTGTAGTCAGGAAATTGACTTCTACTCCTGAACTCTAGTTTCTTTCTTTGGGTAGAAAACAAGGAAATACCAAAACATTTCCTGTAAGTTGAGACCTCAGAATTTTTTTTTTCTCTCATTTTCCTTTTCCCAGACCTTTTTCTATTTTCTCTTTTCTTTCTGAGTTCTGTGTTTCTACCTCTGCTCACCTAAAAACACAAATCCTGAAGGTGTTAAATTTAACAAGTCTCCTTTCATTTCCCAATAAGAAGTAAACAAGGATTTTGTAAATTCGTGTCTAAACTGTGCTGACCTATCATTCTGATGTCTTCTTTTCCCAATCTCCCTGTTGTCTTAGTTGTTTTTTTTACTGGAGATAAGTCTAGAGGAAATTTCTCCTTTACTCCCCAGAATACTTTTTCTTGTTTTTTTTTTAAACTGCCTAAAACTGCCATGACATTTAATTTTTACCTCTGTCTTTCATATGCTTTGAACAAAGATTGATCATAGAAACAGTCTCAGGCTGTCGTAGAATGAACAAAAATCATACAAAAGAGATATGTCAGGAAGAACAGTCAGTAAAAGGGAAAAATAAAATGGCCATGAAGTGCTTGATTCTGAAGTTTTTCAAAAGGTCTGAAATTTTCTTCAGTTGTAATGAGTTTAGGATTATAAAAGACATACACCCGCAAGCACATGAATAGCTCTCTCCCCTGTACTTCCAAAATCTTAACATCTTTGAGTCAATGACTTCACATCAGAATCGTTTTTCTCTGCTTCAGGCAGAGACATCATTTTGGGCACGACTCACCCTAGCATTTATTCATATGTCATCTACTGTCTGCTAATTGCTTCACGTTTGTTGTGTGTCTTACCTTCCCAATGAGATTGTGAACTACTAGAGTTTGATCTGTTCATGACATTGTCAGAAGTAGACTCTGGAGTTAGGGAAAAGTCATTTAACACCCTGTGCCTTATCTACCATGATTGCTTGTCTTCTCTGCATCTCTACTGTTGAGCTCTAAATTCTTTGAAGACAGATACCTGCTGTAATTTGCATCCGCATTCCTGTAGCATAAAGCCTACCAAATGTTTTCCAGAAAGAAGGGTGCTGTTGGCCAGTTCAGGTCTTACAAATCAAGTATAAAGACCCTAAATTTATTACAGGCTCCAAATTTCACATCGTGTCTTTTCAGTAGAGTTAAAAAGAAAACAACAACACTTTTCATTTTATTTCAGATTTACTAGAATGTTTAATTAAATGCCTATTTTTTGGTAGGCATGATTTCAAAAATACATACCGAATGACAGAACTCATGACTTCCTATGGGGAAAAAAAAAAAAGAAACCTAACATAAAATTCGTGCTTTGCTAAAAGATTTGCAAGTTATAGATTCATACCACCAATGGGAACTTATACAATCATAAAAGGAAAGTGCCCGTGCTGTGTCTAAATATTACCCTACTGAAGTGGGGGGAGTTTGTAGAGAGACACCTAAAAGTGAGCTATTGTAATTTTATGACCACTGATTGATAGATCAACACCAACTGATTTTGGCAAGATTGGTTTAACTGCAGAACATTGAGAGAACAATGTTCTCTGCATTGACCAGGAGAAAGTCTTTTCTTCAGTGTGTCATTTTGTTATACTTACAGGTTGAGTATTCCTTATTCTAAATTTTTGGGACCGGAAGTGTTTTGGATCTCAGAATTTTTCAGAATTTGCAGCATCTACATTATATTTACTGATTGAGCATCCTTAATTTAAAAACCTAAATCTGAAATCCTTCAATAAGGATTTTCTCTGAGCATCATGTTGACGCTCAAAATATTTTGGATGTCGCAACATTTCAGATGTTGAATATTCAGGTTATGAATGTTCAACCTTTAGGCCCAGAGACTTTGACCAGGATGGAGTTCTGTATTCTTTCCCCTTCCCCCACCCTCAACCATACACATACAGCTGCCTACAGATATTCACACAACATCCTTATTGTAATAGCCTGGGAAGTGTTAGAAATATTTTGTCAAAATCACCCTTTCATTGGTGGACATCTGTGTCCTGCCGTCTGGCAATTCAAATGACAGTAAGACCTAAAGTACAGAGGGAATTCTGACAACCTATTCTCTAAGTGGGGAATCATGACTTAAGCCAAAAGACTGCAACAAATACAGAAAAATAAATGATAGAAACAAAAAAGTATGTGCATGTAAAAAGTATAGTAATATACATATCTAAGTATTAAATGACCGCTCTCTGGACTTTTTAAATCTGCTGCTGGATCTGATAGCCTCGAGGAACACAAATATATTAAGAGACCCATTTGTCTCTTCAGGACAGGTGTGAGGTTAAAATAAATGATTGTTTTCTAGGTGTTGGGGTCCAGAACAGATTAGATCTGGCTTTCAGGCTTGTTGACTCTCCAAAGAACTTCAAAACTTCTTTTGAAGGAGCAAGACAAGATAAAATTTTTTAGGTCTGCTAAGATTCCAACTGGAATAGTCAAGAATCCAGATAAGTAGAGTGGAAGAAGTATCTAGATATCTTTCAGAAAATTTCCTTCAGATACAGGACCAGGAATACTATTGCAAATGTTTGTTATAAAAAGGGAGCTCTGTGTGAGATGTCACCAAGAAACGTTATTTGTGAATAAAGCACCGTTCAAATCTTAAGATTGTTTCTAGAGAGGAGATAGAAGACCTAGTATTTCTCCTCTAGCTAAAGTATACAACTGAATTCACTCTTTTTTCTATATGGTGCATGCCATGTTTTAATGAATATATTCAAGGTTCAGTGAATATATTTTTGCCAGTACTCAACAATGCCCCTGTATATGGTGCAGAAATCAGGGTGGCATAGTCTCTGATTTCAAGAAGCCATAAAGTTTAGTAGAGAATGAGGGAAAAAATAGAATGGAGTAGAGGGGAGGGATGGGGCTTGGGAAAGAAATGTCTAACGGGGAATACCAAGAATGCCATTTACTGACTGTAACTTAAGTTAATTACACACTCTGAAATTCAGTGGACTCAAGTATAAAAAGAAAGGTAATTTCTGCCACAAGAGAGATCTGAGAATTAGATATAAGTTATCACAAGTGTATGGGATAATATGGAATGTGTAATACCAAGTCTATACAGGGTAATTATATTAATAACCTTTAAATTTATCTACTGTGCAAGTAATTTTAACTAAAAATAAAAATATTGAACACAAGATATTTACAAAAAGAAAATGTTAACTAAATATTAAAAAGTACCAAAAGAACAAAAGTACAAATATAAAAAGGGTGGATAAAGAGACAATCACATTCAACTGAAGGGCAAAATGTTCTTATGGAGAAGAGAAATATTACAGAAGAACAACATTAACTTATTATATAATAGATACATGGAAGTAATGAAAGCATAAAAATTATACAAAGGAATGTAAAAGAGAAAAGCAGTAACAATAGCTCTGCATATAATCATGGACAAACAGTTAAAACCATTTGGCCTATTATAATGGTGAAAATATACATTAATAATAAACTAAAACTATTCAGAACTACAGCTGTTTCAATTAAAGAATATCTTGAGCTAAGACTGGTTTCAATTAAAGAAAGAGAAAGGGTGGAGACAAGTGTCTCTGCCAACACTTTGTGTCTTTAAGGAAGTAGATGGTCATTTTTTTCAGGAGAGCACTATGATATTGAAATTTACACAAGGGAAAATGGGGTAAGTTTTAATAGTGGGAGTGGAAGATAACTAAATTAGTGTTTCCGAGAATCACTGGAAAGGTTGGGTGTTTATAGTCAAGAAAAAAAGAGAGAAAGGACAAGGAGACAGAAATCAGGATTGTATAAACAGAGGTGACTGTCTAATATTGTAGTCTGCTAAACACATTCAAGCAAGAAACGCATGGGTTTTTTGGTGTGGTATCATTGTTTTTGATCATCAGGGAAAAAAATATATATATATACGTATATATTGACCATCAGGACATGGTCAACAAAATGTAGACCCAGGCTTTCTCCTTAAGGGTGCCATCTAATTATGGAAATAACTGTAAGCTAATCTTTCTGGGCAAAGGCGGGGATTTTGCACCAGAAGTGATCAAGAAAATGTGAGTCCTCTGGAAACTGCACAATATGAAGGGTAGAAGGAGTCATATGACTTTGATTTAAGCCTTCATAAGGAAAACAACTAAGTTAAATTACAAAATGGAAAATATTTTTAAATAATAGCAGCCATTTAATATTTGCTTTATTCTGGGTTATGCTCAATATTTCATATGCATGATCTCATGCAATTCTTAGAACAATTACACACACACACACACACACACACACACACACACAATTTAGTGAAGAATTTTTTTTAAAGCCCAGAGAGGCTAAACAAATTAAATTAGTCTACAATGTACTAATGACTGTGTCAGGCAATAATAGAACATTCTTACTCCATAGCGTACATTTAGAATTACTCAGATGGATTCTATTTTTAATACTTCTAGCTGAAGCACACTTTAAATTAGGGCCTCAATATACCTGACTTGCTTTTCTGCTCCTGTGTGCCCTCTCTCACTATTTTTCTGTGAATACTTGATGTCTGCATAGACCGGACTGTTAAATGTTCCCAATATTGTGGACTTTTTTCTATGTAAATTGAGGTTTTAATTCACTTCAGTGTAGATAGTCCTCCATTTAATTCTCTGTTATCCCTCACGGTTTCAGAAAAAAATATTTTACACCACAGAGAAGTTCACTAATTACTCATTCACTGAATACATAAGTAAATGTTGTCACTGTGGTGGAAGGAAATTAAATATACAACTGGGAGGAAGTTTTGGGAAAGATCGTACCTAAAATTCAACACATCAATCTACACTTCGAGATGTAGGTATGAGTTTCTGTATTGATTGACCCCAACTAAGAAGATGCCCTGCGTAGAAACCCATTACCTGATGTTGAAAAGTGGAAAGCAATAAAATATTTCTCCATATGGGCTTTATTTTATTTTATTTTATTTTATTTTATTTTTCTTGAGTTGAAGTCTCACTCTGTTGCCCGGGCTAGAGGGCAGTGGCACACTCATGGTCACCCCAGTGTTGATGTGCTGGGCTTCAGCGATCCTTCTGCCTCAGCCTTCCAAGTAGCTGAAACTACAGCCATGCGTCACCATGCCCCACTAATTTTTGATGTATTGAGGAGACGAGGTCTCACCAAGTTGCTCAGACTGGTGTTGAACCTGTGGGCTCAGGTGATCTACTCGCATATGGGCTTTCTTAATGGCAAACTCCTCTGGAGTTGGTAAGGATATGTTTCCAGAGGCCCCTGCTGGATCTTTCAACCAGATCACTCCATGGTTCTCTGGAAAGCCAAGATTTGGTTTCCTATTACTACCAACTTTTAAGAGAATTACTCTCTTTTCTAAACCCATGTTTAACCATATTTTTAATGTATTTGTCTCTATCTTTAATTTACGTGCAGATACACATGTACATCTCATGAACTATCTTTTCAACAATTCTCATCTCTTCTAACCCTCAAATAAATTCTAACCACATTCAAATATCAAAGTATCAAGTTTGAAAATGGAATGAATTCTACCAACTAGCCATACCATTTACTAAAACCACAGTCTTGACTAGTGATAGCATGTGTTCTTTGACATGACATGAAAAAACAAAAACAAGGCAACAAATAAAAAAGAAGGAGGAGGAGAAACAGTAAAAGAAAAAAATACAAAAACAGCAAGAAACAGACACAAAGAAAGTGAAAAATACTGGATGCAGATGATGAACTCAGTGTTTTAATGTCTGCTGTTCTAAGTGACATCAGCACACATCACCACAGCAAGCCTGAATCACGATCATCCTGGGTTTGACCTCTCAACTTAGATGGATGTTCAACATTTAAAAGACTTGGTTGACAAAAAATACATCTGGGACTTGCTTGGAGTATTTCTTCTCACGAATGCCTTTCTGAGTACCATGAGACATGAAGACCAGAAAAGTACTATCTTAAGTCAGTGCTCTGGGCACGCAGCAAACACCTTAAGCTCTGTAAATCATGTCCAGAAAGAGTCCATACCACCGATTCTGACTTTTGTGCTTTATTATGGTGGCACCTTGGAAATCCAATAAAGAAACACTTAAGGAATTTCTTAAGGAATTCCATAAATCTCAATAGAGTAAAAATAATATCTAAGCCTTAATTTGGAGAAGAGAAAAAAATGGTTATACAAAGTCATCCGGGAATTTCTTGTAGAAAGAAGGTGGAAATATTGTGTTAATAGAACACTTTCCAATTAAAAGTACACCAGGCACTTGCTGAAAGACTTTTATATTAGAAAGGACTATCAGGAGATTACATTTCCTGGTGCTACAGCCAAGCTTTCTAAAATTATTTAGGGATATGAAGGGTAGAACCCTTCTCTGTACAATATAATAGACCTTGCTGAGGCAGTGAGATTTTCTTTCACATCCATGCTGTACTCCAGATGGTCTAGCAGCATCTGCATATCTCTAATATCATCACAAGGATGGGGTGGCACAACTAAGCTGAGCCTAGAAAAATCTCGCACAAATGATCTTCCATATTCTTTCCAATGCTATTAACTGAATGGTTATAATCACAGTTATTTTAGCATGATATGTTGCAGATTGTATTAGAGGCAAAGGATGAAAAGGCTCTAGGTATCTGGATTAGATTTGGAGAATAGTTGACTACTAATCAAGAATGGTCATTCTTGAATTCTCATGAATGAGACAATAGTTTCCATCATATCTGAGCCATTATAGATTTTGACTCAACTAAAGCATCTTCTTGTTATCGTAACTGATACAGGTACATGCAGTGTAATTTGTATCCCCAAATTTTTGGAAAACTTTAAGTCAATGATAGAGATATTTAAATACCTATTCATTCATTATGCATGCAATTATATTCATTAATGTTAAATCAAGGATGGTCTCTTCAGAATTCTCACGAATGAGACAATATTTTCTACCATATCTGAGCCATTATTGATTTTGACTCAACTAAAGCATCTCTTGTTATCATAACTGATACAGGAGCATGCAGTGCCATTTCTATCCCTAAATTTTTGGGACCCCTTAAGTAAATGATATTCTTTCATTATTTTGTAGTCGATTACATTCATTAATGTTAAATCTAAATTACCTTTACCTAGAGTTATTAAACTTGTGACATGAAATAACTTTATTTTCAACATTTGGTGGTGAAAAATTTTATAATATTTGATCTGAGAAGTATTTCACATGATAGTGAAGTACCAAAATTTAATATGATGTAAAGGCATATTGCATTAGATTAAGTGCAGGCCAGATCAGAGGATATTTTCCATGTTTTTCTTCCTCCTCTAGCTCTGGCAGTTCCACTCATTGCAACACCAGAACCTGAAAAAACAAGTCTCATTGTTTAAAGACATTTCAAGTCTCTGCTTACATCAGTCCATTGGTCATTTACACTGCAAAGAAGTTGCCAGGAAAGAACTTAAACTTATTGCTCAGGACAATTTTCTAATCTCCTGCTTCCTGAAGATTTCCTGATGAACTCATTTCAGAGACTTTTCTCTATTGATCTCCAGTAACAATTCTTGACTAAGCCACTTAATATGAAAAGTTTTATACAGGTTCCCATATGGAAGATTCTTTCTGATGTATATTTTCTCTGAGATTTGAAAGCACCTCAAAAGCATATACTAGTGATTTTTATTCATTTGTTCAACAGAAACCTGAACCAAAATAGATTATTCTTGTTAGTAATGGAAACTATGTGAAGGATAAAACTAGAATGGTTTTTGAAATCATACACTTGTGGTTTGAGTTATGTTTGTCAATAGTGGATCAGTCAAAATAGACCACAAAGGCTATGCCATCTCCACAGTCTATTATTGGTTTTATTCCTAATTCAGTCAACAAGGGCCTCTGACCTTTGTGGTTTTCTAGAGATCTGGAATGATGAAAGCTCCTTCGTGACACACAGTTTCACCATGGCAGCAAAAGGGTGCATAAGAAGTGGTGCATTGGCTCCCATTCTCTCAAAGGAAAGCTCACACATATTACCTTTGCTTATCTTATCAGTGAAAGCAAGTTATGTGGCCACACCTAGCTTGAGATGAGGCGGGCAGTACAATGTCATCACATTTTAAGAGGCAGAACCAGGAAGTAAGTATCTTTATTACTCCAGTTTTATAGAAGAAAATAAGACTTTAGGTTGCAACTACTTCTGAAGTCACATAGCTAGGAAGTATGCAAGTCGGAATTTAAATCAACGTTTCTAAGAAATGAGAAACTGTGCTTTTAAGCACCGTATTTCACTACTTTTCCATGTGAAGCAGACTTTCTGGTAGAGAATACATGTCATGGTCTGAATGCCTATGTACACCAAAATTCAGATGTTGAACTGCTAGCCCCCAAGGTGATTGTATTTGGAGGTGGAAGTCTTTGGGAAGCGATTAGGTTATGAGGGCTGAATTCCTGCTCTTACAAAAAAGACTTCAGAGTGTTCACTTTTTTTTTTTATCATGGTAAAACACAGCTATAGGACACCATCTAGGCATGAGAGAGTAGGCACTCAGCACTGAATCTGCTATCACCTTGATTCTGGCATCCCAGGCTCCAGAACTGCAAGAAATGAATCTCTGTCCTTTACAAGCTACCCAGATTTAGGTATTTTGTCATAGTCGCCCAAATAGACTGAGCTAGCAAGTGTTAACAAATATTATTTTTTATGCTTTATATCTTTCAAATTTTTTTAATGATGACAGTGGTAGTTAAGAATATAGAAATTAAATAACAATAAAAAAATAAAAAAGAAAGCTAATTCTCTTAGTTCAGGGGGTGTTCAGTTCCACCGAAGATAAAAAGGTTGGTAGGCTGTTTTTGAGAGACATTTCTTGTTAGTAATTGATATACTGTGGTCCATAGTCTAAAGTAAGCCCATTATCAATGGAGATTTTAACTAAACAAAAGAAACCACTGTATACATACAAAGTGCTAATTTCTTAATGAGAAATATAATTTTATAAGAAACAAACTATTTGCATTCCGAAAGTAAGATAATTTTCTTTCAGCTACTGACCCAAATGCCATTAGAAGATCGCTAAGAGAATATAGAATTAAATAAGAAAGAATTAGATAAATCCATTTTTCCAGACATCAAGATAATCATTCCAGCTTACAAAAATACTGCCTTTTCTGGATAAATGTATTCAAAGTCCACTGGGTACACATCCCTTTGCAGCCTTGAACAACTGCCAAATGCTTTGTTATCAGTTGATCAAGTTCCGTCCTACAGGGTAGAGATGAATCTGCACTGCTGCCCTCCCTCTGTCCATGACTCTTCTTTTCTATTTCAGCGTCTGTCCAGACACAGACTTACCTTGGGTGTTCACTGACGTTCATTCTAGCTATCAAGTCCTTAGGCCTCAGTCTTGTTCCTTAATACCACACTTCATATCTTTGCTCCATTACATTCAATGTTGTTTTTATTTTCGAATTTCAGAAGAAAACAATTTTCATTACTTCCAGATTTATCAGGATGAGGATTTTTACATGAGATTTTATGTACTATAAGAATAACAATGGTGAAGAGCACAGAACCAATTTTAAATATCAATGCGAAATTACTTCTGGGGACTTATAATATCTATGCACAAAATATTTTGACAATACTTGGAGAAAAGTAATATTTTTATCTCTAATTTCAAATGCACCTTCTATTTACCTTAAAGTCACCTGTATAATTAATTTCCAAGTTAGTTTCTCAAATTCATTGCACGCATCACATGCAAGATGTAGTTTTTCAAAACTTGTGGCATGTAAATCAGCCACAAGGAAAAGGAGGAGGTTAAAATAATGGGGAGAGAGGGGCATAGTTTTGAATCATTTCTTTTATTTAGCTTATTTTCTATTTGTCTCATACCTATGATATTCAAAGGTGTCATATTTTTCTCCTGTAGTTATATACATATATTATCTGGTTCAAAATAGTTATAATATTACAGAGGGAAAATATTAGAAGGACTGTGATGGTTAGGACTAAGTTTTAACTTGACTACATGGAGGAATGTCTAGATGGTTGGTGAAGCATTGTTTCTGGATGAATCTGTGAGGATGTTTCCAGAGATGGACTTGTGAGTCAGTGAACTGGGAGAGAAAGATCCAACCACAATGAGGACAGGCACTCAATCAGCCACTAGTGCACCTACTGGGTGCGTGGGCAGCCTGCCGAGATTCTTCCTGCTCTGTCCCCTTTTGTGGCAGAAAGCTGTGCTTCCTCTCCTCTTGCTTTTGCACATCAGACTCCAGATTCCACCTCCTTTGGACTCCTGGACTTGCAGGAGCAGCCGTCCTGGGGCTCTCTGGCCTTCAGCCTCAGGCAAAGGGCTGCATTGAGGACTTCTTTGGTGTT